ACGCACCTTTACATTATGTACAAGGAGTTTTTAAAATCTAGGATTTATATATTAAATGGTTTACAATTTACTTGTTTTACAGCATCTGGTAATTTATTAAGTAATACAAATACCGTCTTTATACAAAATTCCATTTATCAATTTCAGCTAAAAGTAAAAAAATGTTCGAAATTGAAAAAACAAGATGGCCGCCTTCAAAGGCTTCTATCAAGTAAGCGGAGGGTGCTTAAAGAAATATCAAAGAGAGTTCGAATTCTTAGGTTTTCGCGATTGTTACACATAGAAAATGAAACTATTTTTCCGGATTTAAATCGCGTATACTTTTGTCGCGATTGGTCGCGGTTGACTCAACCGTGACCATGGGACCTGTAAAGGGCCCGAAACGTCGGTTTGTTTGAAAAAACAAATATACGCGATTTAATTCCAGAAAAATAGTTTCATTTCCTATCAAAGAGAGTTACAAAGCTCAACTGCCTGAGTAAAAAAAAAACCCTCAGGTGCAATCCAATTTGCCGGTTTCCATATTATTAAAAAAACTAGACTATTAACAACCTACACGACTCGTAACTGATTGTGTAATTAGAAATAAAAGCAAAGTAAATTAAAACGGTTTTCAAAAAAAAACGACGTTCTAATTTAAAAAAATTTAATATACGGGTTGCCTGAATGGGGCGTTTCCTTGAGCGATATGGTACGACAGCTGCGCTAGGTCATTGCGGCCATGAAATCAGCGATAATAAATACTACGGTCGATATCAACACAGGCGCCATTGTTATGACAGGTCAGTTGGGGGAAACTGGAATTTATGTCGGTATAAAATTTAACCTTATCTTTACGCGTCAAAATGAATAAATACACTGTCTAACCCTGGACATCACCATAATTTGGCATAGGCTTCAAATGATTAATCCAGGTAATGGGTATCAGAGTTGTTACAGACACCGAGCCATGCACGAGAGCACCCCACGCCCCGAACGAGAGCGCGTCATCGTCTCCCGCACCCCGCACACTGCATCGTACGGAGCCAACTCTGTAACATAGTTACAGATATTAGATAGGAGGGTAGTCGCCAAGTAAACTACAAAATTTTTAGCTCTGCATATTTTTTATTTAAAAAATTAGTTAACTTGAATTTATATAATTAATTTATATGCTACATACTAAAGCATAAGTAGTACTACTCGCCAACAGTGTTACCTTTCCTTTGTCACTCTCCTACATTACAAAAACAACACCACAAAATGGACCAGTCAGAGATGCAATTTAACTTGGACAAAATGGCCAAAATGTTTGAAGAGAAGATGGCAGAGTTCCAAGCAGAGTTAAACCAGGCATCAACCACACGTAAGAACCCTAATAGCATTGCAGCACTTAACATAGAGTTCTTAAACTTCAAAACTTTTGTGTACAACGGCCTCACAGTGCTGCGTGCTGAGATGGAGGCTCTTCATAACAGGGTTGACAGAGTGGAGATGAGATTCCGGCGTAAGATGTTGCTAGTGCATGGCATTCCTGAGCAGCAGAACGAAGACACCTGTGCCGTCGTAGTTTCCACTTTGTCAACAAAGTGTAAAGTTCACAGCCTCTCTGCAAGCAGTATTGCCGCTAGTTATCGGTTGGGTAAGCAGGTTCCCAGAAACACCAATCCGCGGCCCATTGTCGTCAAGTTTACTGATGCAACGGTGCGGTCAGCGGTATGGAAGAGCAAAGTTGCACTAAAGGGTACAAAGGTCACTCTCTCCGAATTCCTCACAAAGTCCCGTCATGACGTTTTTGTAGCTGCGAGGCTAAAGTTTGGTGTTACAAATTGCTGGACCTTGGACGGAACGATTCATGTCAAGACACCGGATGGCAGAAGACACAGGTTGGAGACAATGTCTGGATTTCTTGCTATTTCTCCAAGTACCGCGGAAAACAAAATATAGGACCCTCATTTTTAGTTGAAATTTTTTCTTTTATTCTCGAGGTACCTACTTAATTTTTAACTTTTTAATAATGCAACTTTTAAGTGGTTCCGTTCGTTCATTAATTTTTGGTTTACGTCAACTGTCACTAGCATCTTTTTTTGTACAAATTTAACGGCTTTGGCATAAAGCCCTTGTCTAACAGTGATAACGAAAATGTTCGTTCGGAAATGTGACAAATTCTGTGATCCATTTCGATTGTATTGTTACTTTTTATTGTTTTATTTTTCAAACCTAGTACTTATTATTTTGTATTTGTTGTTGTTTTGTTGTTTTTTTTTTTTTATATTTGTTAATTTTGACATTCTAAGCGATTCTCTTTCACACTGCTGGTGGGTATTATGGATATTTTTGGTTTTATTTTTATATTTTCATTGTGTTCATATTTTCTTTTATTATTATTATTATTATTATTATTTTTTATATATTATTATTATATTATAACTATATATTGCTGAATTTATATAGGTACATATTTTATTATATTTAATGTTGCAAACTAATGATAATAATGGTAACGATTTTTTGAGTGATGAGTCGGATTTTCTTTCGGCGTCTTCGCATAGTAGTTTTCACAGTTTGTCACAACCGTTAGATGAACTTCTGGAATCTAACTTTTCAACTGTTGCGAAAAATTTTAATGCAGTCCATATAAATGCCCAAAGTATTCCAGCGCATTACACTGATTTGGTGAGCACTTTCTCTAATAGCCAGAACATTAACGCCATCTTGGTTTCTGAAACTTTTTTAAAACCATGTCTCCCTTCTTCTTCCTATTCCCTTCCTGGTTTCCATCTCATTCGTAATGACAGGACTGGCAAGGGTGGCGGAGGAGTTGCTATATATCTTAGGAGTAATCTTCCTTTCAGTATTCTTGACAAATCCCCCTCTCTTTATTCTGAATCTTCGGAACATCTTTTTGTGGAGGTGCTTTTGGGCCATCAGAAGCTCCTTTTGGGAGTTTTTTATAGTCCAAACCTAAATATTGATTATTTCAGTAAATTTGAGACTTTGTTGGAAGATTTGGTACCCACGGTTGATCATACAGTTATTATGGGTGATTTTAACACCTGTCTGTTCAAACACGACTCCCGTTCTACTCGACTTCGCTCAATCGTGGATTCTATTAATCTGAACATTCTTCCGTCTTCCTCAACACATCACTTTCCTGACTGCCAGCCATCTTTGTTGGACCTTGCCATTGTCTCTTCTACTAATCATGTAACTGCTCACGGTCAACTTCCGGCCGAGGCCTTCTCCTATCATGACCTTATTTACCTTTCGTACAGAATCCGTTGTCCTAAGCCTAAACCACGAGTGGTCATGCAGCGCAGTTTCAGGAACTTTGATGAGGAAAGATGTATGCTTGACCTTAACGGTATTGACTGGGACGCTGTACTTAGAGCCCCTACTATAGATCAGAAGATGGAAATTTTCAACTCAATACTAATACAGCTATATGATATACATGCTCCACTCCGTCCTGTTCGATTGAAACATCTTCCTGCCCCTTGGCTCACTGCAGAAATTAGGGCATTGATGAACAAGCGCAATCTTGCTAAGGTGCGGTATAGAAACGATCCTTCAGATGAAACCCACCGTAGATTTAAGGAACTTCGCAACCGCTGTAGCAGGGTGTGCAGGGATGCGCAGCGCCGTCACATACATGCCTCGGTTTCTAATGGTGATCCTGCTAAGGTATGGTCTTTCCTAAATTCCCTTGGTATTGGCAAATCAAAATCTCCTACTCCCTTTAATCTTGACCTTAACTCCTTGAACTCGCATTTCACAACGCCTTCCTCTCTTTCTTCTAGTATCAAGCAATCTACGCTACAGTCACTTTCTACTGCCCATGACTCACAACATCCGGTTTTCTCCTTTAGGCCTGTGTCCGAGAGTGAAGTTGAGAAAAACATCTTGGCCATAAAATCCAATGCTGAAGGACTGGATGGAATAAACCGTAGGATGATGTTACATGGTTCTTCTATTCTGGTTCCTATACTTTGCCATATTTTCAACTTTTCTCTTGACACTGGCACTTTCCCGTCATGTTGGCGTCAGGCTGCTGTAGTCCCTGTTCCTAAAACCTCTAATCCATCTCTACCCTCTCATTTTCGTCCTATTTCTATTCTTCCATTCCTTTCCAAAGTTCTTGAGCGTCTTGTCCATAATCAGATCACAATTTTCATGAACTTCAATAATATCCTTAGCCCTTTCCAGTCTGGTTTCCGCTCGGGGCATAGCACTGTGTCTGCCTTGACCAAGGTGTCTGACGACATTCGCGAAGGTATGTCGTCTCAGCATCTGACAGTATTAGTTCTTTTAGACTTCAGCAACGCCTTCAACACTGTTGACTTCGACATCCTTTTAGCAATGTTAAAATCTATCCTGGTATCAGATTCGGTTGTGGAGTGGTTTCGCCACTATCTCGTTGGGCGAAGGCAATGTGTACGTGTCGATAACAAGCATTCTACCTTCTGTGATGTTACTGCTGGTGTGCCTCAGGGTGGGGTCCTCTCTCCTCTTCTTTTTTCAATATTTATTAACTCCCTTACTCCCTTGCTTTCTTGTCAGTATCATTTGTATGCTGACGATCTTCAGATCTATTCCCGGTCTCCTGTGCATGGTTTAGATAGTTTAATTGCTGAACTTAATGACGACCTTGCGACAATACACAATTGGAGTCGAACCCATGGCCTTACAGTCAATCCCAACAAGTCGCAAGCCATCGTCATTGGTGGCTCGAAGCAGATAGCTAAGATAAATTATACGTCTGTTCCCTCGCTCGTCTTTGACTCCTTCCCTTTACCTTTCAGCAGTGTTGTCAAAAACCTTGGCGTTCTCTTTGACTCCACCCTGTCTTGGGCGCCACATATCGCTGAGGTTAGTAGAAAGGTGTTTGCTGCCTCCGGTTCATTGCGACGGTGGAAAAATCTGATTCCTGTGAAGACCAAGATTGAACTCGCGCAATCGCTGCTCCTACCTATTATAGATTATGCTGATGTCTGTGTTATTGACCTCAATGATGATTTATTAGGCAAGCTCCAACGTCTGCAGAATCTTTGCATCAGATTCATATACGGGTTGCGCAAGTTCGATCACGTGTCTGAGTATAGGAGAAGGCTTCAGTGGCTTTCTGTCAAGCAGCGCCGTGAGGAGCACGTTCTCAGTTTCCTTTATAATGTACTGTATGACCCTCGAAGCCCACCTTACCTTAAGGAACGTTTTCGTTTTCTCGGTGAAGATCACAATCGCGAACTAAGGTCCAAGGCGGATAACTTGCTGAAACCTCCCTTCACCCGGTCAGGATACTACATGAACTCCTTTACGATTATGGCTGCACAATTGTGGAACGAACTTCCGTCTGAAATACGACATTCCAAGTCGCTTCTTATTTTTAAAACTGCATTGCGTAACTATCTTCTCAAACGTTCCTAGTATGCAACATGTATTTATATATTTATTGGTAAGTATAAGTATATTTAGGTATATATATTTCTTTATTATTTACAAATATATATGTAAGTCTAGTACACCGTTATTTGTTTATTTATTATTCGATATATATATATATTATACTACTTATACGTTTCTGACTTTGGCACACTACCTCTTCTCCTTAGATTAGCTTTCCTATACCTCAAAGGTTGTCTGGAAGAGATCGCTCTTAGCGATAAGACCGCCTTTGCCCACATTAGTTTTAAGTTGTCTATGTACTGTTTTTGTTATTGTATGTGAGCAATAAAGTGTATATCTATCTATCTATCTAACATAGTTACTAGTTGAAAGACTGTAACTAGTATATAAGTAGGACCCGAACGAGCAATAAACGTAGTTAGTTGTAGTAAGCAGTTTAACAAGTGTTTCATTGCCGATCCCGAAAAAAGCAAGAAACTGAACGAATACACTCCACCGATCCAGATCAAGAACACCAACGTCTTTGGTCCTACGAGAGCCGGATCATGGGCAGAGTCTATCTATGTCAAATATTGTAACTATTCCGTTGCTAATAAGATAAACAAAATTTTCACAAAGGAATCAAGGTCTCTGGTTTGGAGTCGAAGGAATTTTTGTTTGTGTTGTTCGTAGTAAAATATTTTAATATCATAGTAGCAAAACATACAGCACAGCAACTATGATATTCAATAAATAACACTGTAACGAAAAGATTTATGATTGATACAGAAAAAAAACCTAAACTTAATATACTACAGCACATATTTGTAAACAAAACTGTAAGATAAGAAAATCGCGTCTAACTTTTTAACGTTTAACTTTTTCGTAGCAGTACAATAGAGCTCCTCGTGAAAGAGTCCGTCCAGGGTAGTACTGCCACATTACCTATTTCTGCCGCCAAGCGCATTCTGAATTTGAAGGGTAAGGGTGCTGGTGTTAAATTGTAGGCACGTGAAATTATGTCTTAGGGTGACGGGCGCAGTGGCAGTGCTCTCTGAGCGGCCCTGCAACTGTTTTTACAGGCATGGCGCTTACCACTGGGTGCATGACTTGTTCGTCTCTTCACTTGGTATCATAAAAAAAAAATTAGTAAACGAATACAACCTGAAAACCTTGTTCTGTTTCCATCCGTTACCCTTTAATCTCCTGGCCACAACCTATTACCCTAGTTGCGCGCTGAATCCCGCATCCTATATTATGGATAAAATTCTCCGCTCCCGCTACAACTCCGCTGCTTTTCAACCTCACGACCACACCCATACTAGACCTAGTTTCATGTTTAATTCCCACATTCTATCTCATACTGAATTGACGCTCCGGTTCAACTCCGTTGTTTTGAAGACTGGAGACCGGTATGACCTATTTAAGTTTTACTGAAAATTCAAATACAAATTGTTTATTTCACACGTCCATAGATGTTAGTTACAAATATACTTATATCTATGTCAGTAATGAAAAATATTATAACATACAATTGAATCAAATTCACGAAAATAATATCCGCATTCTCTCACAGCTAATCTTATATCTTATAAGAGTTCGTCCAGGGAAGTACTGACACTGCACCTATTTCTGCTACCAAGTAATAATGGGACTATTACTGGGTTCCGGTTTTGAAGGTTTATTATATTATATAATATATAGGTGAAATTACAAGCACATGGGAGATTTGTTAACTTTATGTTTCAGGGCGACTGGCGTAGTGACAGTGACGCTAAATCTTGGCGATTTAAAGTTTTGAATGGCATTGCAACTTTATGGGTAGGCAATCCCAATATTTAGATATCTTTCTTATTTAAATGTCCAGACGTCTGTGCCACAGCATTTTATCATTTATTGCAGTGTATAGGGCGCTGGCGGTAAGGCGTAATATGCTGGCCCGCAGGTTTGCACGGTGCTCTTTCGAGGTGAAAATCACCATTTTCAAAACATATTGCCAGATCACACAGTGCAACCTGTGGAGCAATCACACTAAAAAAGCATACAATGCCTTGCGTGTCCGATTCAACAACGCCCTCAGGGGACTGCTGGGGCTGCCTCGACACTGTAGTGCCTCAGCGATGTTCGCGGAGGTTAGAATCGATAGTTTTCAGGCAGTCGTTCGCAAGAGTGACATGGCCAGAGTGAGAGGCAGAGAGAGAGGATGGACAGCCCACTCCTTAAGTACTGGAAGTCCATCCTTGTTCATGAAAATGAGCACTTTGCTTTCTACTCACATAGTTGTAAGTGCCTACTAAGACCATATGGACATGTAACTGTACCGTCTGAAATAAAATGTTTAAAATTGTAAAATTATTTATTGTAATGTAAAATTGTTTCATTTCATATGCGCACTCTTTTTGTAAATTATACCCATTTCTGGTTATCTATGTATTTACACATCTGGTTCTTTTTAGTGATAGGACTAATAAGTCGTGCGCCTGATGGTAAGCGACACAGCTATCCATAACAGTTGCAATGCCCTTAAGTTTGCTTTAAGTTTTAGAACCATATTTAGATATATGATAATATTTTCAGGCAATAGACAACATTTCTGACTACCTATAAACTAAAACATATCTATAATAATAACACACACACTCAACATTGCTACGCACTAGGGAACACATTTACTAATGATAATGAAACATTTTATCTATATGCGGTTCAGAAAAAAACATGTTTGTTTTAGAAAAATGTTTGTTAATAGAAAAAAATCGAACCAAATAGCCTCTCAGGCGTCACAAAACAAAAGATTGTCAGTTTTACAATCTATAGTGAAATTTAAAACATACATTTCTATGAATTTATCTGTCAATGAAAACCTCAGTGGCGCTTTAGAGGACAATTTGAGAAACGAACTTATGAATTCCGTTGCTCTCTTATCCGTAGTACAGGGAATTCCTTAGTTTGACACAAGATAATTGGCATGGGAGTATATTATACATTACAAAGATGTACATCTTTACAGAAGAGTCTAAGAAAACGTGGATGTAACAATTTTCGATTTTTTTTTAAACATCCCTAAAATTTTGTCAAATGTTTTCACTTTCACCCTGCAGCAGTAACAATAAAAATACTTATACATAGAACTCAACATTAAATCAGCTGTCGTATGTATGATAATGATTACAAAATAATTACTATTCTTCAGGCTCGCTCTCGTAAATGTCCAGTTTTGGAGCCCGATCGGTAATATTCTCATCCGCACTTAAACACTTGTACCAGCCGTGAAGCTCTTCTGGAATAACCCCTGAAACGCACAGTTTCAGTAGATCCTTTTTGGCTTCACTGATTGGCAATGGTCTTTCGTATAATTTGTTTTAACAGTGGGGTTTCCTCTACACGAGTTCTCTTTCTGGTGGATCTTCGGGCAGTTTTGGGAGGTTTTGTAATATATTTTTTTTTTTATAATATCAAGTGACGGGACGAACAAGTAGTGCGCCTGATGGTAAGCTACAAGCCTATGCATGATAATTGCAGTGTCACTCAGAGTTTAAATCGCAAAGATCTGAGGGGCACTGCCACTGCGCCCGTCTCCCTGAGACATAAGTTGTCCCATGTGCTTGTAATTTCACGTGCACCCTTACCCTTCAAAACCGGAACACAGTAATGCTGACATTACTGCTTGGCGGCAGAAATAGGTAAAGTGGCAGTACTTCCCTGGAGGAATTCTTTCACAAGCTGTACTGCTACTGAACGAACTTCACGTCGATGTAGTTAAAGGTATCGTTTAGATCGTATTTGGAAAATATTTTGTTGAGTTCGTCTTCATGTAACGAAATTGTCTGATCTTCATCCTCTTTACAGGTTTACCTTCAAATCTTTTTTGGCATTAATATATAAATTTGAAGCCAATTGCTTCAGATCGTAAAATTCGTGGTACTTATAAATTCTTAGACAAGGTTAGTTATCTTTCACAATTTTTTGGGTGCCGACTTTGATTATTTGTTTTTTGCGGGCATATTTAAAAATTGAAAGATTGTTCGGCATTGAGTAAACAGTGGAGTAATTTTTATAATTTTCAATGGAGCTGTGCGTAGAGTCCACCTTCTTATAGCTATCTATGTCCTGACTCTAGGAATTTATGATCGATGATCTGGATGTAATCAATTATCTGAACAACGTACAACAAAAAAAAATAAAAAAAATACAGTCGATTTGAGAACCTCCTCCTTTTTTTTGAAGTCGGTTAAAAATTACTTTAGGAGTATCATTTACAATACTTTTCAAGCATTATTATCATATTGCTTGAACATTAAAAAAACAGTTCGGTTAACATAACCTCAAACCGTGTTATACAAAAAAAAAACCATAAAATTATTCACCAGCATATTTGTGTTTACTCCTTGATCTAGTATTCTTTTCCATGTTGATGAAACGCAATAACAATTATATTTTGCACGGAAACAACACAATAAATTAGACTAAAAACAATGTTGCAAAACACGTATTTGATTTTATTTTGTTTTACCTGTGTTGCAAAACACGTATTTGATTTTATTTTGTTTTACCTGAACCATTTCCGCCTACCAACTTGGTTCGAATGTTACATGCTGGACCAATAAATTGTTTTAGTATATTATTGTTGTAGGTACCTTGTAATATGAAAGACGTAAATTGTTTTCATATATTTTACTTGAATACATTTTTAAGATTTATGTATTTAAATGTTCTTATTCGATTTCTCATGAATATGTTCTGCCAAAAGCTATCTCTTACCTGGTATTTTCACTGTCTAACTCACGAACTAAGCAAGCTATTAAATATTGGAAGTTACCAGTAGAAAAATCGTGATTTTCTTATCACAACTGTGTAATTAAGTCATTTTTGGCAAAACTGTCACTTATGTCACCTTTAAGCAGACGATATTTCAATTTTGTAAAAATAAAACAGAAAAATAAACTTTGTTTGTATTAAAAAATGAAGCATTTCTGACTTATGTTAGTTTTCCGATCCTAGAATTATTAGTGGCGGAAGGAGAGATATTCCGAAAGATTCAGCGACCAATCGCAGGAGACTTTGGGAACTGAAGGGCCAGATTCAATAGAGATATTGAAGAGTTAGTGTCTGAGCCGAACATAATAGGGGAAATAAAATCCGCCCGACTTCGCTGTCTAGAGTATGTTTCGAGAATCGAGCTGCCAAAAGAGCGTATTTGGGGCAACTTACAGGTCATCGTCCAGTGTATCGCTGGAAGGATGGCTTCGCCAAAGATCTGAAGGAGCTGCATGAGCTCAAATGGTCGGTACTAGAACAAGACCAAAAGAAATGGCGGACTTTGGTGTCAGAAACCAAGATCCACTTTGGGTCGCCGAGCCAGCAACGTAAGTAATTAAGTCAAAGTCGAAAATCATTTACCTATTCCATACGAAAATATCAACTTCATGCAGTCGAGGTCTCGAATAACAACTTCATGCATTAACTGCATGCAGTCTGAACCGACTACATGCAGCCGTGATCGACTGCATGCAGTTAGGCTCAACTCACACTGGCACAGAGTCGAAGCGTCGCGACGCGTCATGTTTTTCGCCTGTAACATATTCATCTCTATTTTCCCATTATTAAAGTACAAATTTGTGTTATGCAAATATGGAATCGCGCGTCGTTCCTTCGGCGTCAGACGCCGACCACACTGTGATCCGAGCGCGTTAATCCGAGGGTCGTCTCGCCTCGCCTTTCGTTGTAGCTGAAAAACAGGAACCGACACGACGACGCTTCGACTCTGCGCCAGTGTGAGTTCAGCCTAAATGTGTGAAGTCGTTACCAACTTCATGCAGTCGAGGACTATGGCTGCATTAAGTTGATTACGACTGTTGCACGGCAAACATCTACCTTGTCAATCTGTTAAAAGACTAACACTTGAAAACGTGAGCAAAAAACTCTAGGAGTTGTTTTTTTTTTCAAATAAAGTTAAATGCTATGGAATAAATACACTTAGAATCAATTTGTCTGGAGCCAAGTCGTAACAAGTAGTCTTCAATTTTGTAATGTCTTCAATTAAAAATACTTTCTTAATATTGCTTCGGAATCTTATTGTAAAAAAGTATACCGTTCGCTATACGTAAAAAAATCGTTTACCTTAGTTATACGAAATCGTGGTATCATGAGATTGGACTTAGTTCTAAAGCTAATATTATGGATATCGTCTTTCTTAATTATATATATCTTTTAAGTAAATAAATAAACGTAGATCAATTCCAATATTATGAGGTGTTCATCGTAGATATTATAATACGAGTAGTAAATGATAGTCGTGCCACACCCGCATGACCTAGTTACGCGTTTGATTCTAGCATTCTATCACTATATTTACGCTACCGCTATCGCTCCGTTAAACTCCGACCTTATGGCCACACCCAATCGACCTAGTTCGGTACTTAATTCCCGCGTCCTACATTAAATGACCTACTTCACCCGAAACTACTCGTTGTTAGAATGGGTCAATTGATTTGTGCCTCCTTACTACTCTGAAGATGACCAGCGAGCGCTTCAATTATGAGTTTACTCAGTACTGAATCGATATAGAGCGGAATTGGAAATTTTAGAGCGCCGCTGTCACAAGAGAAAGCAGTAGAGCTTTTTTCTGATTGACATCTTACCTATTTCTGCAGCCGAGCAGTAATGTCAGCATTACTGTGTTCCGGTTTTGAAGGGTAAAGGTGGCTGGCAAAATTACAGGCACATGGGCCTTGTCAACTTATGTCTTAGGGTGACAGGCGCAGTGGCAGTGCCCCTCAGATCATTGCCAGTTAAAGCTCTGAGTGGCACTGCAACTGCTATGGACAGGCGTGTAGCTTACCATCAGGCGCACGACTTGATCGACCAGTTAAAGAAAATGAAAAATATTTATTTTGTCGATTATAATATAATGAATATAATTCCGATAGTAATGAC